TCCAACCATTTATCTGTCTGAGTGCAACTTCTGTAAACCTGCTGTGGTGCATTAAAAATGTGATGGTCTCATGATTGACAGCATTTGTCCATGTGACAGCTCTTGGAAGATGTATACCTTGCATCCATGTACGAAGAAAATGGTAGCTTTCGACTTTATTAGTTGAAGTTTTTAATGAGTGTTTTTTTATTTTACCTTTGTATTTTTTTTTCCTGAGATGCATTGAAAGAGATGCTGATGTAAGAGCAAACGTCTATCCACAAAACAGTGAAATAGCACAACTATCCTGTGATGTATGAAATAAATTATATAAAAAGAATAATTTTCCATTGGCCTTATCATTTATTAGTAACCTTTTAGCACTAATAGATACAGAGCTGTTGCATGGAAATGTTGCCTCTCTTACTCGATTTATCCTTCTAATTATCTAGGCTTAGTGCATCTTTTTGCATGTTGCGAGAAAATCAAAGGTTTATAGCCTTTCCACCCCTATTTCTTCAGAGAGCAGGAATGGTGAGATCAAACCGACTGACCTGTTCAGCTTCCCTGCCTTTATTAGGCAGAGGTCTGCTTCCCTATTTATGTGGCTGTGTGGGGAAAGCAGAAGGTGCCAGGCAGGGTAACCATAAAGTATTTGTGATGGAGAGGTCAAACCGAGCCCATAATTCTGGGTTGCATCCAAAACGCAGAAGTTTATTTTGGCCAAGCTTCTTAACTTGTGCCTTGTTACCCAAGGAAAGGCCTCTGGAATTGATTAACTCTGCACAAAGACTTGGTCTGTGTACATTTTCATTAAGGAGGAGCCCTTCGTGTTATGTTTTTCCCCATTCATTGGTGTTAACAATATCTTTACATCCAGTTTTACTGTAAAAATAAGTTTTTTGTGCTTTTCTTACAGGTGCATCGCCTTTAAACTGATGTTTTCTAATGTTTATTTCAAGGACAGTCTTCTTCTCAGCTGTATTTATTAAAAAAAAAAATACTAAAACAGAACTTAAAAAGCAGATCTATCAGGTGAGCCGGTGTTTTCAGATGAGACTGTTGACAAACGAAGGCAGCATCTCAGTACAGAGTGATGTTTTAGCATGAGCAAAGAAAAATTAGTGGTGTCTTAGAGCAACAAGAAAGTTTATTTCAGAAAATGGACAAAGTATTTCAACAGGCTTACTCTGTTTACTGCCCCCACACACACTCCTGCCTTCTTCAGTTCATATATTTCACGTATTTTAAAAAATTGGGAAAAAAAGGTTTTTAATGCCACACGGCAAAGATGTTAGCTAGTGCCATGGAATTATTTCCTCTAAGGCTTAATTGTTGCTTGACTGTGAAATCCTCGAGCTCGGTTGATCTAGAACTCCTAAGACCAGTGTTATATAGTGAAACTGGCCCCGTTTTTAGGTACTTGGGTGCCAACTTTCACTTTTTGAAATGCAGGTGCTCTACACTATGTGAAAGCCAGGCTGCTTTAAGACACATTCAATTTGAAATAACTATTTTTTTTAGTATTTTATTATGTTTAAACCTGTGCTTAACTTTTTTTTTTTTTTAGTGCATGCTTCAGAATTAATGGCGCAATATTATGTTAACACATTTTGATTACAGATTTTCCAGCAAAGTAACTTGTATGAATAAAAAGGGAAGGCACATGATTTCTGACCACAAAACAAACCAGTGCTGGGACTTTAGAGAGCACAGAGATGTTGTGTGTATGTCCCACAAGCAGGCCCTCCCCATCCTTTCTAGGTGTTTCTGTGTATTTCATGCTGCCACCCTGAGATTTATTCAGCCTTCTCTCAGAAGGATGTTCTTCTAAATTGTTTGTGCATGACAAGTAGTCTGGCATCCTCATGAAATATTCTGTTCATTTGTTCATTGTCCTGCTCAAGGATCTCGGCGCTGACTTCATGTATTTACACTTTTGATGTCCCAATGATATGTGTTTAATAATGTGTAAGCTTTAACGTTGACTCACTTGTAACACAAAATACTACTTGCGAGCAGAGAGAGTACAAGTAGGATTAATATTGTGTGGGTATAAAGTCATGGTGTGATTCAATTTTTTTTTTAAAGGGCATTTAATAGAGACTGAATCATTTTTCAGTTATTTGAAAGGGCATGGGAAGAAATCAAGACTGAAGTAGTGCAGTAGACCCTAATTTATTAGTCAAGGGGAAGGGAAAAGATCGTATCTAGTGAGGCTGCAAAAGATTACACTGCATCTTGTTCACTGACGGGAAGTGATCTTTCTTAAACACAAATTCCAAGCAAAGGTTGAAGACAGGCTAGAAGGCTACTCAAGTCTGAAGCTCCTTCACCCACCGTGACTAATTACATGTTCTGTAAATGATTTACCCACTTTCATGTCTTCTTAAGTTCCACTATCGTGAAGCTAATCACTTTTAAAAAAGGAAAAGTGAATAAATGCTTTTGCTACCAACAGTCTTTTCTCCCATGTGGGTGATAAATGTTGATCCTCCCCAATGTATGCATGCATGTACCTATATGTGCGCACACACATTTTGTTATCTGTTTGTGGATAACACCATCTTGTTTTTATATTTTGCATTACCTGGAAGCCTATTAATCAATTAGCAGCCTGTGAATTGCTGCTAAGTTTCTGATGGCCTCACAAGCTGTTTAAAATTCCCTCTTGTTCCATGGAGGTTCGTTTCCAGGCATGGCCACTGCCTTCCAGAAATGCTGCTTGGACGAAGGGAGAAGCCGCACAGCTGGGAATCACAGAACAACAGCCTCCGGAGTTTTTTGACTCGCACTCTGAAATGGGAGAGATGGTTATCTTTTTCAAGGAAATCCATTACTGAATTTTGCATTTATCAGCATGGACTCCTGCTGGAACTACAGGGCTTGTTTCTAGGAAAAATATTTTGATTGTCAGTCTCAAGGTTTAACTCTCAGTGTTCAACTGGGTCAAGCTCAATTCCTGCCTTCATCTTCTTCTTTTCTTCCTACTGCATAGAAAATTCTTATTCTGTTTCCCAATTCTCTGTTTTCAGTTTCAGATATTTGTAGGCTACTATGCCCTCTCCCAACTGAAAGCTCCTCGTGCTATTCATCAGTGTTGGTCTTTTTTTTTCTGCCTAAATTCTGCTTTCAACTCAGTACAAAAGTACTGAGAAAGGGCCGTAAGTTGCTCTAGAATAAAGTAGAAGGGCAAAAACCATGTATGCATTACAGTCTTGAACTAAAATTGTCGTGTTTTTATGAATAGCCTTCAGAAATGTAGAAAAATGTAACTAATTAATGTTTTGGTGTGTATTCTGGACTTTAGAAATAATAACCAGTGAAAAGGGATCTGCTGTCTTTCCTGAATTTCGAAGTTGTGTGAAATTTGCCAGTTGGCCTGGATTTTCCTTGGGAATGATACTAAATATGGGAGTTACAGCATTTTCAAAATGAAAAATTTAGTATGTTTTCAGGACAGAATGAAAAGTTGTTAATTACTGTGGAAGCACGCACATTGTCCATTTATTTCTGGCAAGTGTCATCTTAGTAGCTCGGGAACCTGATAAGGAAAATTGTGATGTAATCTTACGCATAAGCATGTTGTCTTCAGTGGAATTAAAACACTGAAGGCTGTATCCTGCCTGAATATGGACAGCCTTTTGAATGTTTGAATGGGAAATTAATAGATGGCGTCATGCATTTGGTTTTAAACAAAGCAAATAACCTCATGCAACTAGAATATTCTGCCCCAGGCTTCAATTTCATTCTCTTTTGCTCACCATGCTAATGACTGAAGTTTCTGGTGTGACTTCTTCATTGATGGCAATGCATCAAATCAAGTCATGGCAATGTATCAGGTCTGTTCGAGTTGTACAGATAAAGTTTGACTGCATTGTGTCTATTTTTTCCAAAGAAATTCATGGCCCAATCATCTAAATTGTGAGTCATGCAGCAAGTTGTCCAAGATGGTTGGAGCAGACGTGAGAAGTGCAAATGTACTTGTTGTTTGTCTGCACTACGCTGGGTTCATCATAAAATGCAAGTTGGGATAATTTTTCTCTTTGCCAAACTGCAGGATGGAGATGTAAAAGTAACCAGTCGTTTTGCAGTGATAAAAAAGGAAATGGTTTTTATGTTACACCTTGTTAGAAGACAGATACATGAAGGATGCTCACTGTTGCAAAAATGATGTTTATAGTAGTTTGTTTGTTTTTTTTTTTCTTTTATGTATGTTTTTCATTATGCTTTGGTCATTTTTCTTTGACCATAGCTTATTTTAGGATGCTTCACCTTTAACAGGTGTCTACCTTCCTCCTAATTTGAGTAATATTTTGTCACATTTGGCGCTTTGTTTCTTTGACCAGAGTGTTCCACTGTAAGTTGTGGTTGGGTTTTGTACTCCTCAGCTCTAAGAGAAATCCATTTTGTGCACCAGTGTGCCATCAAACACTAAGTGACATAGAAATTCCCTGTTTTCCACCAAAAGGCAGCGTATAGCTTTGTCAAAACAGCAGGCCATGCAAGGTTTGACAGCACCAAATGCCTTCAGCAAAATCATTTGGCTTGTAGCAGGTACATAACTGATAAATAGGATGATGAGGTGATCCAAAAATCCCAATTTGCATACACTGTATGAAATACACTTTTGATGTGCTGCATACATTTATATTTGTGTCAACAATCTGATTTGCAAAGGCGTTTTATGAAGATGCTTTAGAGTGATGAGGCTTTGCTTATATTCCTGTCATTGCATTGATTGAAGTTCTCTTGTATTTCTCTTTAATAAAAGTTTGCTGTGTTTTCACGCATACCTGGGGATAAAGCTAATGCTTAAAACGCCTTTGCTAGTTTTTTTCATAGAAGTTGCTAAGTGCTTTTTGAATGGCCAAGGATTTTTGAAAGCTACTTTTTAAGGGAGAAAGACAGAGGTGTATGGATGGATATGTGTGTATTTATTTAGAAACGTCATAGCTAATCGGCTTTGCTGACTTCTCACACTTGCATTTGTTGTTTTTTTTCTTTAAATCCTTGATCAGAGATTGACATTGAGCGTTGTGTTCGTGAGTCAATCAACCTGTTTCGCTGGACCCCAAAGAGTGCTACGTACAGGCAATATGCACAGCCTCCTCGACAAGCTGGTGACAGCAACGGCACGAGAAGTTCGATGTCCTGCTTTTCAGCAGATTATCAGGAAGCACCTAGAAGTGACCTGGTAAGTGCCCTGGCACATGGAGGGGGAAGACAAGAGACACACAGGCACGCACTGTTGTCCATTCTTGCATTGTTTTAATGCAAAGCTTTATTTATTGCGTACATTTGTTTCTCTGCTGTAGCTCAGAGAACTGTAAATCCTCAAGGCCTCAGCGAACTCTAAATCCTATCATCAAAGTAGTCATGAGTGATAATAATTGTACCTCGTTTATGTTGATATTTTAAATTTTTTAAGTTTAAAATAGAGGGATATGTCCCTGCCTAAGTAGGTGAGAGGAGGCAGAAAGATAAATGGATCGTTTTAGTTATGTCGCTGCAATGTTGGTTGTTGAAATACCAGCTGATGAGTTTATTGTTCATCTTATTTGAAAATCTGAAACGATGCTATTAGTCTCCTTCTTGCATCTATAGGATTCACATGAGAATTGCAGTGGGTGGGCAGATTTCAAACTGCTGTAGAGGAGAAATGCCACTCAGTTAGGGTACTCCAACTCAGTGCAAGTTGGAGGAGTCACATTAATGCCAATATTGTGTGTGTGTGTGTTTTGAGGGAGATTTTTTTGGTGAATTTTTGTTTGTTTTTTGTTCTTTTTTTAATCAATGTCACAATTTTACTTAGAGCCGTGCTATAGCTGGCTTTTTACCTTGCTTGCAGTGCGAAGTGGTTACTTTCAGCCAAGTTCAAGTTAGTTGCTCTAGAACCTTCTTAGTTATGTACAAATTTTCCATCTCTTTTGATAGACCATGCCACCCCATCACAGTTTAATGAGGTGGGGCAGGGGGAAGAGGCTTTTCTTTTTTGTTGTTGTTGTTGTTTTGTTCTGCTTAGTGCAGTAAGAAAATACCCACCAAACCTCAGGCCCTGGTAGTTTTGTTGTCACTACCAAGCACAGGAGTTTGACACATTCATCACACAGACTTGCTTCTTAACTACTGCACGGTGTTAGAGCCCGTGCCATGGTATTAATTCTGAGGAAGAATCAAGTGCAGTGAATGAGGTTTAACTGCTCTGAAGTGTAGTTCTTTATTCCCTGCATATTTTTTTCCTGAGCAGGAAGTAGAAAGGTTTTTTTGGTCATGTGGGATTTTTTGTTGTTTTTTGTCAAACTTCACTGCTTTGAACTTAAGTTTCTTTGATGTACATGCCAATAAAATTATTTCTTTTTGTGCTGGATCTCTGCCTCTCTCCGCTCCTGCTCTTCCAGCTCTGTGGTGTTCTTTGTTACTACAGCAGACCACTATCCAGGTCATACCTGCAGAACTACAAACAGGCTTTGTCTCGGGAGAGAAACAATAAAAGAACAGTTTTCCAGTGAGAACTGGAATTTTTAGGAAAAACTTCTCAGAAAGAGCAGTCAGGTGTTGGAGCAGGTTGCCCAGGGAAGCGGTGGAGTCACCGTCCCTGGAGGTGTTTAAGGACAGGGTGGATGTGGTGCTTCGGGACATGGTTTAGTGAGGGATATTTGTGGCAGGGGGACACTTGGACCAGATGATCTTGGAAGCCTTTTCCAACCTTACTGATTCTGTGATTGATTGAAATAACTGGGTAACGGGAAAGTGATGCGGGCAGCTCTGGATGTTTTTTTCCATCTTGGCATGCCAGGTTAAAGGGTACGGCTCAAGCAGTTTTGAGAGGCAGTATGTAAGTTATACCTGCATTTGCCTTAGCAAAGAAAAGCTGGTTAGTAAGAATGTATCTGCATAGCTATTCAGTTCAGGGAAAATATCCCTTTGTCTTCCTATTAAAATCTGATGATTGTTTTTTGTCAGCTATACCATCTGAAGGGTGCTTGTGATTTGAAGTGATTCTGTTCCATGCCCTCAGCAGTATAAATCTAGTTAGTCTTTATATAAACAAAATTAAACAGTATGTCTTTCTTCCATGTTCTCCTACAATCAAAATTCATTCATTACTACATTACAATAGTAGGGGAAGGATATACATGTAGGTATGTCCTATCTATTTGGCCGTCTGCATTAGATTTTAGTCTTTTGATCTGTTTTTCTCAACTACTAAGAAACTAAGCTCTGAATTGTCACTTCAGTGTATCTGAATGCTTAAATAGTCCTTAAACCTGAGTATGATATTCAGTCATCATCTTTTTTTTTTAATATATATATATAATTTTTTTAATGTTAACGTATTTTCTGTAAGCCTTGGGCACAAATCCAGGACTCCAAGAGCTAGACCTGCAAAAGCCGAAGAAAAGGGAACTAAAGAGTTTATAGGATTTAAGAAATAATAGGTAGGAGTACAAAGGCAACTGGGAAGAAAAATGAAATGACACAAGAAGGCTTGTGGTTGTCATACAGGAATGTCACACAGCAAATACGACTGCTGTGCTGGTCTACAGATGCATAGAGAGACTTTCTGAAGGAGCCAAAGACTGCAAATTCATAGAATAATTCTGATAGGAGGTCATCTGGTACAAATTCTTTCAGAAAACAGACAAAACCCTGAATTCAGATGAGCTTGCCAAGGGCTTTGTCCTGTCAGATCACAAAAACTTCCAAGGAAAGTAATTATGCAGTCTCTTTTTGCAGCCTACTCCAATGCTTGACAGTGAAAATGTTTTCATGTATGTGCTAGCTTTTCTTAATGTATGACAAGAGTAAACAGCCAAGTTTCCTCAGTCCTGAAGCTCATGCTTGTCTGTGTCCAGACAAGAGTAAAGAGGCTTGGAAGCAGCAAGGAGGGATAAGGGAGAGAGCAACAATGATGTGCTGAATTAGTAAATAGAACAAAGATTTGTAATTGTAGCAGAGAAAAAAAAATCTATTGTTTTGGGTCAAGCAAAGTTTCTTCCATTTCCTGAGAAATGTGTTGGGTCTTTTTTTTCGGTGGTAGTTTTATTTTCATACCAAAAAGTATGTTTGTTTATAATGCCAGTAACTAGGCTCATCCATCCCATGGTTTCCGAGAAATTAAGCTAATGTTTTTTTCTATTTTATGGAGAAAAAAAATAAATACCACAACTTCTATTGCCTTCTCTTTATTTTCTATTTCTTTCTGCTTAACAGTAAAACACTTTTGATTCACTGCCACATAACTGATGGTTTAACTTCTTTTGAAGCTCAAGGGTGTTGGATCTACTGTAGCTGTGTGGGTTTTTTTAGCTCTTTTTATGGTGGAGGACCCTGTGATTTATACAGAAAATCATGAATACACTCAGTTGTGTTGTTTTTTTCTGTAGCAAAGTGAAAAGTCATCTCATGGAGACTGGCAAGGAAGCAGATTTGTATGTGAAGTTCTAGTGTACAAATGTGTTTGCTCTCGTGTGCTGTACTTGTGTGTCAGATTTTGAGACATGTATGCTATGGTTGTTGGGGGCCGCAGTCCAGGCTTCTGAAATCCCATGTAGGGTGAGCCACTAATGAGGCACCTGTCACTTGTGACCACTTCTGCACCTTCAGCTGTTTGTCTTTGCAAGATGACACTTCATCGGAGAATCACAGAATGGTTTGGGTTGGAAGGGACCTTGAAGATGATCCAGTTCCAACCCCCTGCCATGGGCATGGACATCTCCCCCCTGCTCATGGATTTGAGCAACATTGCGAAGAAAATTTTGAAATTGTTGTTGAAATACTATTTATGCACAAAGGTGTTTTGTTTTTTTCTGTCTTTGATTTTTAACCTTAATCCCAGAATTATCTGTTTCTTCAGTCGTGTTCTCTGCTAGTGTTTGCTGCCATTGGAAAACGTTTTTCCACTTGAAAGCAGTGGGAACTGAGTTCAGTCTGCAGTACATGCGGCAGTTTTTCTAAAACTCCGTTGTGTCCTTGCTGGTCAGTCTAGCTCTTGAAAACATACTTTTTTGTTTCCCTACCTATTTACCTGGTTCCTGTGGAATAAGCACTACATGCTACACTTGTATCTCTTATCTTTGTGGATCACATCTGTATTTAGGGCTGGGAAGAGTAGGAAACAATTCCTTTGAAAACAGAGTTGTGGGTTTGCTTCTCAAGGTAATTTATGACTTTTTAAAACATGAAGTGTTCAGTGTATTTAATCCTAAACACCGTCTGTCTCCTACTCCTGTATTAGTATTTTCTTTCTAAGCTGTTTCAGTTTGTCCCTTAAGTGCTTTTTATTGGCTACTCAAATATTTGTGTATATCTGCATGTTCCAGTGCTTTGGTTAATAATAACAGAAGTATTTGCCCCTGGGTGAGCACTTTTCATCCTAAATCAGCAACTAGTAGAACAAACTGTTTTGACTTTTTATTATTAGCATTGCTTAGTTTTCATTTTAGTGACATCTATTTGCAACTTCGTAAATAGGCTCGGGTACTCTCCTCCCTCCCAGCCTTGTGTGTTGCTTAATCTTTTACTCCTTCAGCCAGTAAGCATATTTCTGCTGAGATAAAATCTCAAGGAGGAAATAGTTCCAGAGAGAACGAATGTGCATCATAAGTGAATTAGCATGTATATTTTAGGAGAGAGAGAAAGTCCAAAATAAGAATTAAAAAACCCTTTGCATTCACCACTGAATTTTAATAGTAGGTTACTCAAATTTGTTTCTGACTTTTTCTTGACCACTACACTGAATTTTTTTTCTTCTTTATTCTGGATGCATGAAATTTACCTTCATGCCCTAGAAGCACGCAGAGCAGTGTTCTTGAAAGTCCAGGAGTCAGACACTAATACTATTTATCACGTAACAATTTTCTGTGATTCCTCCATCTCCCTTCTTACAGCCATGGTAGATGTGCACACCCTCTCCAGCTACCTGTGTGCATAAAGAGGAGCAAGTGGTGCAGTTCCTTTATCTCTGCATACGCCTGCTCAGTGTGACAGATCCAGACATCCCCAGGCTGGTACAACTAGGCCTTAGTTTTTTCTTCTACCACCCATCCTCTATTCAAGGGTGGGAGTTCCTGGTAAAATGTTGGGGAATTGAGGCATTCAGATGGAGAAAAGCCACCACAAGATTATTGATTTTTGGGCTGATTGCCTTCAGTTCAGATTTTCCTTTTTTGATGAAGCAGAAGAAGAAAAACC